TGTAGGCTTTATGGTTTCTTCGTAATTATTGATTTAAAACAGCCATAAAAACTTGTGACGTTTTCATAAAATGCGCTATAGTGTCTTATAGTTCGTTCGTACGTTCGGCTGTTGCAGTGGACTATGCACATGAAAATTTGGTAGAATGTTATTGTAAATGTTTAGCTACATTCTTAACTTTTGATTACCGCACATCTCCTGCGCCGAAAGAAAACATAACTGCGGAGATGTTTCGCGGTATCGAATATTACTCAGTCTCAGCAGAAAACACAACGAGAGACACCGAATCAGCGAATTCTGAGAGCGGAAGTGAGAGAAGTAGGTAGCGGTAATAAGTCGATGTCCCTTTTATTTCATAGCACTCGCAGCTCAGCTGCGGTGCTGTTTCGATGGAGGAGTGTGGAGCTCCGCTGCTTCTGTATACACACTTAGTTTTTTTGCAGGAGTCAGTATTTTTTACTGGATTTTTGGATTACTGAAAAACTCGGTTAAAATTCAAATGACTGTTATTCGTAAAGATTGGATAAAATCGTTTTTTTTTTATTTTTCATCATTACACGGGGTTAACAATAGTTAGTCTGTAAATGTTCGTAACACATTTTCTCAACTTTGAATTTTTCACAGATTTTTTAAATTTTAACGAAGTGTTCCGCAATTCAAAAACTCGGTAAAAATTACTGACTCGATAAGTGTGTACTGATGTATGGTTGGTGAAGAGGCTAGCATGTGGAGGGTATTCTCCTGCTAGTGAATGCCACCCATCCCCACTTATAATTCAGTAATACACTATTTATTCATTTTTGTTTGATATGTTTACAAAGTTTGCAAACAGAAATGAGCATTGCAGTGTAGTTACCAATTTTCCAAGTCATAGACTTCAAATAACTGTTCAAAGTCCCAGATTTTTTATAACAAAAAACCAAAGACTACTATGACAAACGTGATCGGTCTGAAGGGATCTTTACATAGAAATTGTTTTAAGGTGATACGATCCAGAACCTCGGGCTCTGGTTCCACTTCGGTTTTTCCAGGAGTCCATTATCTGCTACCAGAAAACATACAATAACAAAACTGTGATGACAATTTAGTGCCTCAAATCACAATAGTGTCCGAGATTAACTCCCAAGAAAACTCGAAGTGGCAGAGAAAGTGCATATGATTTGTGGACGCTGAACCATACCACCTTAAGAACTCAGTATGTTCCATTCCCAGGTTGGAAATTTTCTCAACTTCCCTGGGCATAGAGTATCACTGTGCTTGTAATAATACAGATTCATACATTGGTTGGCATAGAAAGCTTTCAATTAATTACTGTGACTGAGTTCTTAAGGCATACTGAGTTCTTAAATTTAACTCGGCAAATGGTTCACACTAAGCTACGTTTTGCTTGTTCGGTATTTTTTTACCGGAAATAAACGGTAAATTTAGTATATTACAGATTTTTCGGTAAACAAAAATAATTTAACCAATATTCGGTAAAATTTTAACAAAGTTTCGGTAGTTTGATTATAAATTTGATGAACTCTGTAAAAAAATACCGAACGATCTGTAAAATAAGCCAAAACGCCGAATTCGGTAAAAAATTACCGAACAATCCGTAAATCACAAGTAATTTTACCGAAATTTTGTACTATCAAACTGTCAAAACTGTCAAGTTTCTATGAATGTCATGGTAGTCTAGGATCAGAAATTCAAATAAGTAAGTAATGTAACCATGTTACATTCCTTTGGTTTGTTTTTTCCGTCGATCTTGTTTTCCGTGCTGAGCACCAATGCTACCGACGTGCCAGGAAGGCAGCTCCCACACCTGGACCCTACCTATCGACCCATCAACTCATGAACCGGGGACCAACGGCTTTACTTCCCATCTGAAGGAAGGCGTGATCAGAGATGTTATGCCTCAGAACATCCCTGCGGCGCCGACTGGGATTGAACTCAGGCCTGCTGGGGTGAGAGGTAATCACGCTTATCACTACATCACCGGCGCCGTTGACCATGTTACATTCGATATGCATCAATGGAGACGCAGGGTAATCTAGTTGTATTGGAGTAATGAGCAAAATTTCTAAACATGATTATTTGAAAAAAAAAACGTAACTCAAAAACAAAGAAAAATGTATCGCTGATTTTTTTATATGTTGTGTAGAAAAGCCTAAATTAAAAAAAATATAAAAACGTGTTAAGCCCATTGTCTACAAACCATGAAAACCATAAAAAATACAATCGTTCTTCTATACAAAACTCTAATTAAAAAAAAATATTTTTTTGTGGAAAGTATTTTTAATAACCTTTCATTTGATATTTTGATCATTCAAATCGGTTCAATGGTTCATAAGTTATGATTTAAAAAAAATGCCATTTTTGGAAAAAAAATAGACCACCTTAGCAGGAAAATGGGCACCCGAATGAGAAAATAAAAAAATACGGGTCTAATATTTTTCGATAAGGAACAAAACTGACAATTGTTACGAAATTCTGAGAACCACTATATCGTTTTGCTATGGAATGGCTGTATATTTTTCTTTCTTATATCTATATTAAAGCTATTTTTACACGGAAATAAAACTTATTGACAATGCAACCGGGAAGCTATTAAACATTTCAATTTCCAATCTGTTTTGTAGATGGTACCTTTAAATTAAAGCATATTATTAATAAATTTTGTATCATGTCGAAAAGAATACAACTTCCTTGTCTGAAAATTTTATAATTCCAATGGAATTTGTAAATTCAGCAGTAACTTGTCAGCAATGCACCGTTCGGACGCCATGTTAGATTTTGTTTGTGCCATCACCACTTAGAAATTTTCACACATAAATTTATGTAGAATCTAAGTGAATTTATGTTACATGAATATCACTTGAAATTTATCTATACTTCATCTAAGTTTCAAAGCTTATCACATTGCGTTTAATATGATTTGTAATGAATGATATTAGCGTCATGTGCATTACAGATTATTTTTAAAATTGCGGGTTTTTCAGTGAAATTTATGTGACAAATTTTTTGAGAGAACTTCATAATGCATTTGGAAAATCAAAAACATCGACCACATAAAAAAAAAATCTGTCCGATTTTCGAGGCTATATCGCTAAAAATTTTGATAACATACGCTCCCAGGGTGATTGTAATAGTTGACAGAACTTTCAGAGTCACATGGAACGAAAATGGAAACGTACTTGTCTCTTACTTGTCCTCCAAGTACCGAAAAATAGCACATGTCATCAATTCGATACCACTCCTCACGTACCTACATATCAATTTCCTTCCGTACGGAGTGACAAGGTGACAACTCCATAAAAAATTAGCGTTAGAGATCTTTCGTATTGGTTTGTCATGAACAAATTCTTCGTTACCATATCCTTCAACTGGAGGTAGAACCACTGACGGTAGAACCATGTCGATGATTATTTATATCAAACCGATATCGAATTTCGAATATCATTGATATCAGATTTTTAAACATTGGTTATCGTCTCGATAATTTAGACCCCATTATTTATTTGTGTTGAAAATTATGATAAAATTCAGTAAAACAAATTTCCCCCCAGAAGAATATTTGAAAACCAATAAATTTAGGAATTTGGGTCCTAACTTTTGGTGAATTTTGGACTATCCGACTGTTGTTCAATTGCAGTTAACACTTTATCGTTTGAACTCGCTAGACTGCATCGCCGAAACTTCCGTTGAATATCTGATAGGTATTATGGTGGTATGCTTCAAGCAAGATTAAATTTTAATAACATTACTGTAATTACAGTTTTTTTTCCCGGGAAATGCATCGTTCTGGTAAAATGTTCATCCGGAAAATTTCATTATGTATGTTGATTATAAAACGACCGAATACAACTTAAAAATATGTATTTACCTCATCAAGATCATCATGTTGCTCCTGAGGTTCCACTTTGATTGAGTTCTAAAATACAACGAAATGATACTTAAATATCACCTGACATTTTTTAATATAACAAATATACCAAATCCATCTGCTGTGATGACGTACTTCCAATTGGCAAGTACTTTGTTGGAGGTTTCCCTACCGGTATATTCGTGGGATGAGGCTGCACTTTTTGCGGAATACTTTCAATAGTCACACCTGGACAAAGTTCCCTTACATGCTGAATGACGGCATTCCGATCGACACCATTCGAGGTTCTATCAATTTCTGACCAACTTTTTTGTTTTTTCTCTGCTACATCGCATCGGTTTTTGAAACTTTGCCAGGAATTCAGATAGCTAATACAGGCATGACAAATTTTTGAAGAAAGATTGTCCTCCTTCAAAACCTAGAATCGAACAAATACTACATAAGTTATCGATCCATGCCAATTTGTTCTCATGCGCTATGCTTTCATGTCAAAATTCTTATCCTGTTCCGGGAACAGACAATTTATATTATTTTTAATTTCATAATCCAAATAATGTATATTCAAGCAAGTAAAAATAAAACACCATCAATAATACACCAATAGAACAGGTATATCGGTGTTCACATCTTCCTAAAAAGGAGTAACTAACAGGATAATGGACTAATAAATCGAGCACAATATAATATAATAATACTGGAACATGCATTCCTCCTTTAAAAGAGGTAAATCCAAGATGGAGGTTTAGAGCTCCACAATTGACAGAGACTCTGGTTAAACTTAGGCAGCCGGCACTTCCGATTGTCTTGTTTACAATCTCGAACTTAGTACAATTATATGTACATAATTTTGAACTTACTTTAATTCTAACGCATGAAAAAATCTTTTGATCCAATCGCTGCCGGTCGGCTGCAAAATTAGTAAAAATTGGAACACATTCCTCATCCGGTGCCAGGCACAGTCGACAGCAGATCCTGCGAGCCATCTCTATGTGCATCGATTTAATTGTATCCGTAGAAATTGAGTATGGTTATTTTGTATATACATATCACATTAAAATCACGCTTTAAAAAATTACTGAAAAACTTCATAGAAAATCTTGCCAAACTACACAGTATAACTATATAGCGAATTCGTTTATTATCGGGGTTGGAACCAGTTCCAACCTAGTGCGAAACCGAACTTTTTGTCGGTGCGAACCTCAACCTGAGCTAGGTTTTAAAAACAAACGAACAAACTGACGTTTGTCAGAAAACAAGCAGACCCAATCTTGATACCCGATCCAGGTTGGAACTGAATAATAAACGAATTCGCTAATAGTCGCTATATTCATAGTCTGGCGGATAGAATTTCGATCTATCAAAAAGCGGAACCAACAATTGAAAAGGTCTGAACCATTTGGTGGATTTTCTATATACACGGTAACCAGCGTAAACACATTAATGTGTAAAATTTCACACTTTTCATGGAAAAAGGGGCCTACTCATAAAATGTGTAACTGCGTTTACACATTTATGTGTAAACCCAGCAAACGTCAATAGATGTGTAATTTTTACACATTTTTCAAGAACGGTTTTTACAGCAAAATGTGTAAAAAGTAATCATTTCTAGAACTTGAATATAATGGGTGCGTATGGTTTTTATTAACTTCGGAATTTTCTTATTTGTGAAAATGATAAATAATAAAGATTGCTCGAATACAATAATATTTTATTAAAAAAAAGGAATGCCATCAAAAACATCAGTAGTGGCGCCGGTGGTGTAGTGATAAGCGTGATTACCTCTTACCCCAGCAGGCCTGGGTTCAATCCCAGTCGGCACCGCTGGGGATGCTCTGAGGCATAACATCTCTGATCACGCCGAGAATCACGCCTTCCTTCGGAAGGGAAGTAAAGCCATTGGTCCCCGGTTCATGAGTTGATGGATCGATAGGTAGGATCCAGGTGTGGGAGCTGCCTTCCTGTCGTCAGTAGCATTGGTGCTCAGCACGGAAAACAAATCAAGGAAAAAACAAAAATCAGTATGAAACAAGCAAGCGAGACACCGGACATTGACTATGAAAATAGTATAAATCACCTACCCTCTAGTATGTCCATCGTTGCACTGTCCAGCTTGTACCGTAGTTCCTTCATTTTCCTGTTGTACTTCACTGAAATATATACAAATGGCGTGCGTAAACAAGGCAGGATACAGCAAAGTTTGAAGTTTTTTTTTTACCCATTAATGAGTATAAAAATACACATTTTTTGACTGGTACTAAATTCTTAAAATGTGTATTTTTTTACACATTTCAAGATCTCCAAATTTACACATTTTTTGACAGCTGCATATAATTATAAAAAATGTGTAGTTTTTTACTCATTTATGTGTTTAAGGTGGTTACCGTGTAGGCTGTGAACACACTCAGAAATTATTACCAATTATTACCGTACTCGGTAATTTTTTACCGAACTTTCAACAGCTGAACTTTCGGTAATAAGTTCGGTAAACGAAATGCCGAACGTTCGGTAAACCAATTTTTTGATGAGCAATTCGGTAATTTTTTACCGAACTGTTCTGTAAAACTGATTTTTCCACTATTTTTAAATTTTGCTACCGTTTTCAGTTAATTTGAATTAAAAATTCTTGAAATAATATTTATCAGTTTTTATTTAATTTTAAAATTGTCACTGCACATGTGATACGTGCAATACAAATGTATTTGACGCCAAAATGTGTTAGAGCCCGATGTTATGCGATGCAGTCCAGATAAATAACCTGCAATCAAATCATGCTATCGCTGACAATGCCTGGAAAATAATAAAATTTGCTAAATAAACAATTACTCATGAAATATGACGGTGATCCATTGATCGTGGTCAAGAATTTTTATCCTTACCTGCTCCATCGTAATTTTTGTAAACTATATTTGCACTTAATTCCGGATGCACTATTTACCATTCACTAGTAAATAAAGTCTCTCCAGATTTGACAGTTTGATAGTACAAAATTTCGGTAAAATTACTTGTGATTTACGGTTTGTTCGGTAATTTTTTTACCGAATTCGGCGTTTTTGCTTATTTTACAGATCGTTCGGTATTTTTTTACAGAGTTCATCAAATTTATAATCAAACTACCGAAACTTCGTTAAAATTTTACCGAATATTGGTTAAATTATTTTTGTTTACCGAAAAATCTATAATATACTAAATTTACCGATTATTTCCGGTAAAAAAAATACCGAGCTAGCAAAACGTAGCTGAGTGTGCACACTAAGATTTTTTTACAGTATACTGTAATTTTTTACCGAATATGGAACAGCTGAACATTCGGTAATCTATTCGGTAATTTTATTATTTACAATCCGTTCAGTAAATTTCCTTCACTCTTGAGCTGTCAAAATTTACTGAAATGGATTGTAAATTTTACAGAATGATTGGTAAAGTTCACAATGGCGTTCGGTATCATTTTTACCGAAATAACTGTAATTCATTATTTTCCTGAATGTACCAAAATTATGATTTTTATTGATTTATTGATTATTTCTTCCATGTGTTTTCTTAAAATTAAAATGATGACAGAACAAACGATTCGTTTGACTCATTAAACGTAATTTTTTGTATATTATCATCGTACGTTCGTACAAAAATAATATTCAACAGAGAAGGACGATGTTTCTGACTCCGTAACAAACCATACACAAATTGGTTTTTTGCGTTTGATAAGGAAACTGGGCCGCCAATCCATGGTGACTGAAAGCAATTGGTATAGAAGTTCACTGAAAAATTAACCTTTCGCCATAGGTTTAACGGATTGTAAATAGTCAAAAATAGTAAATTACTCACTTTTCACATCGGAGAACCGAAGAAAATTCAACTTTGAAATGGCGGCAAATACTGAGATTGACAATATGCAATTTACAATCCTGTTCGGTAATGTTTACAAAAATCTGTTACTTTACTACGGTTTGCTTTTGTAAAAGATTATTTTTACAGTACATTTGCTACACTTTTTACAGTATCGCTGACTTACAACCCGTTACAGTTTTGATCAGTAATTTTCATTTACAGTTTTCGGTAAATTTATGCAATTTGCGGAAATTCAGCAGTTTTGATTGCGGAGAATTGGTAAAATCATATGTTTTACAAAACTTTCGGTGAAAATGATATTTTACAGAACGTATCCAGCAAAAAAAGTACCGAAAAATATTTGAGATTTTGGTGTGTGAACCATTTGCCGAGTTAAATTTAACTCGTGGTTAAAAGTGACATTTCGAAAGTTATTTCTTACGTTCGAAAATCCCCGTGCTGTCGATCGACCGGTTTTTGAGCCACGGTCGTCAAAATTTAACTTCTTGTCTGTCAGAAGTACCCTAATAAAAAATAACCATAAACGAACGATAACCCAAATCATTGAACTATTCCACAAATGGTTTGGATGATACCCAGAGCTCGTCGTTAAGCAAATTAACCATACAATTTTTATTAGGGTAGCCACGCTCGGCAGGGTTAATCGATAACTTTTCATCTGACAAATTTTAACCAAAAGTTAAAATAATCCACCAAATGTTCAGAGCGAGATTTCAAATGTAAGTGCGTCAAATCAAATTTCGAGCCGCTTCGTCTGTCACTTTGTTTGTGATTAAACTGAGGCTGTGTTCCATTTGGAAAATTTTCACTTATATTTGACACTTCGAAAATAAATTAAGATGTTCGAATTTTCGAGAAAGCGTCTGTCAAAATTTATTCCTTGTCTGTCAGAAATAAGTCTGCAGGAATAGCAGGTTTATTTGAAAATTTTCCATCTGTCAAATTTAAGTAAAAATTCACCAAATGGAACACAGCCTGAGTTTAATGTCAAATTTATCACTTTGTCAAGCAGTTTTAGCGTGACTTTCTACCAGCGATTTCACAAAACTGGACCAACTAATTTCTATTTTTTTATCAAACGCACAAATGTCGGCTACTTTTCTCGTGGTTCTAGAAGAAAAAATCTCAAAATAATGTTTTATTTCAAAGTTCGAGTGTTAGTAAACGTCATTTTGATGAAATTTCAAGCAAAATGGGAATAGTTTAATTTATCAGTGCAACAATAAATGAGTGCGAACCGAGGTGCGAACTACCCACCCGAATAAAAAATATTATAGAAAAACAATACAATTTATTGTAACGGTACTATTTGGAACAGTATGATTACCATAAAAACTATTGTAATTATAACAATAAAAATATGTTGAAATGTATTGTGTGAAACTTTTGAATGTATGGTAAACGGAGCTTTTACAATGGAATGTACGGGTTGTTAAGTATCGTAACAGTTCACAAATTTATTTAATCTCATAGTATTTTTTCTCCAAAACAATAAGATGAATAGTAAATATATAGTTGTTAGGACTGAACATAACATCAAAGTTACTCAAGGTTTTATTGTTAATTTACGGTAACAAAACGATGAAATTAATATTGATCATACTGTTATGAATAGTGACTAAATCACTGATTCAACAATTGATTGAATGGTATGATAATAGTTTCATTATTCAATTTTGTATTGTTCTACAATACAACGACGATACAATATGTTGCTTATTACATTTAGGCTGTTTAATTTTAATAGAATAACAAAATCTGTTCTGTGATGAATATTGTTTTATTTTATATCGATTAACGGTGTTGCTTAAAAAATTAAAAAGAAAAGTAAATCAAGAACATAAAACATATGTTTAGGAACAATTCAATAAAAAATTTAAACATTTAGTTGATGTTAGTAAAACAAAGCATCGTCACAAAAAATCTGCCAAATTGATGTAAAGCAATTCGTACATATGTGGTTTCCGAAATACGATTTCTACATATCTCTAGCCAAGGTAACTTCAAATAAGTTGTAAATCTCTTGCTGTAGCATTGGCATCCTGATCGAAATCTTGAATAACATTGCGTGCCGCCGCGTATCTTGCTGCCTTTTTCAGATTTGCGATTTGATTCGATATCCTCATTGTTTTGCATTGCTTTACAATGACGACCGATGACTGTTTTATTTTTTATTTTTTTTTTTTTTAATAATTCGTTTATTTTTCCAGGCTCATTTGCTGTAGCTTTGCGGAGCCGATATTCATTGTTTAAATAACAAAATTACTTAAAACTAACGTTAGTAAAGCGGAGGCCGATTACTCGCGGCTATCTCGAGGTTAGGGGTAACAAATTGTAACAAATGGATGGCAGGGTAGGGATTGTGAACACAAGGTTTGGAGAGCAATGTGCTCTTGATCTCGAACTAGGCGACACTCTGATGAAAA